GAAACATAATTAAGGAGAACAGGGATTTGAACCCACAATTATAGGTTTCTGGCGTGCCTAAGGGATGCAACGACTGGGCTAACCGTGCCCCCCTGAGAATCAAAGAACCAACAATAAGTTTTAATTCTAAATAAACAGGTACTTCCCCATTCAATATAAGTATCACTATTTGAAAACAGAAAATACAGTTTTTAATTAACATTTTGACACTGAGCGTTAAGTAAGAGGATTCCCAATCAGGGAGAGACAGATGAAACCAACCAAAGCGGCAGTTTAAGTAGCACTGTTGTCACTCGGCAGTCACATTGTTAACATGGACTGTTCACATATTTGACAGTTTTAATTACCAAAAATATGTCTACATCATTATGAAACTGAAGACAATCTCTAAGGGAGAAACATAGTCCTCATCTGAAGGCTGTAACAAATTAATGACAAATTTTCAGCCACATTTGTCCAAAAAGTGACAGGCTGTTTCATTTTGTTGTCTGAACCCATTCCTTGAAATAGTTTGCATTCATGCCTTGCCCCGTGAAGATCTGGGTTAGCAACCTATACTTGTCGTAAGAAGCAACTAATGGGATCGGGTGGCCAGGGTTGCTGACTTGATTGTAAGAAAATGACATCCTACCAGATATAAAAATAAATGGCTACCTGCAACCTTGACACCCTGCACAAGTACACAGTCATGGCTGTGGTAACCGTATAGCCATCCTACTCCATATAAACGATTTTGATTTTGACTTGTCACACTACACAGAGCTACAGGCTGTCCCATAGTGTTTAGATCCCTGATCCAAATCTGCATCGCACTGTATATGCTTCAGCAAAGTGCATGCATCATAATCTGACGACAAAAGCATCATGACTCACTTCCAAAGACACTTGCCTTCAAATACAACTACTTATATCTTAGATTGTGCAACAATATATTTACTTACTGAGTTGGTAAACAGACAGTTGGTACAGTTTTTTATCCGCCATTGTACTCAGCGATGGCATCCAAAAATATGTTCCCTCTCTATGATTCTAACCCCTAAAGTACATAGAAAGTTGCATGACCAAAACATATAAATACCCAGATTTGAAGGCAAATGTTTTAGGAAGCGAACAGTGTAGCAGATTTTCAGGAATTACGATTCGTGTATATAATTGCAGGTTTGTTAGTGCGGTATGTTCTGAACCTGGAATCTATTAGGAAAACGCAATGTAACAGCCTGTAGTTCTGTGTAGTGACAAGTCAATATCACCATTGTTTATAGGCAGCAGTACAGAGATGCTGTTACCACATCTAACACAGTCATAATCCATACACTGGAATGAAAGGTTTGGTTTTCCACATGGCAATTAAAACCAGTACACATGTAATAACAGACAGAAATATATACAAGGACATTAATATCAAGAGACTTTTCTCTATCTTACTGGTACAAGTCCTGACAGTTACCATGGTAACACTAAACAAGAAGCACTTTAAAGGCAAAGCATGGCGATCAGGAAACTAAGAACAACAAAGTATTTGCCGATTGTAGAAACAGGTGTAGTACGGTGATCACTCCCTCTACAAGCATCTCCTTGATTAATGTATACAGGTAATATACTGAAGAAGAAAGGTTTAGGGATCATGAATATTTTTGGAAATATTTTTTTGAATTGTTGGCTCAGTCCTCAGTATTCATGATCCCTAACATTTTTAGTTCAGTATATAAGTGAATAATTTTGACATTTGAGGAAATCGCTTTCATTCTGGTTAACCTGAACACCGGAGATCTTTCAATCTTCTTGGAAGTTGAATCCCTTTAATGCCAGGATGGTCATTAAGTGTGACATTGCTATTTTACAGGCTATTTATCATGAATACTACCAAAACCCCGATCTAGTCCTTTTCAAAAGGAAAGTTCATACAAAACTAGCATTTGTTTTGATTGTTCGAGATCATATCTAATGGTTAAACTACTCATTTTCATCTCATTTAGTTGATCAACCTTTTGACTGTCAATCATATTTGCATCTTATGTTTCAACAAGTTCTGAAGAACACATCGTAACCATGGTAACAGTAATTCAGCAGTATTCTGGAGGTCTGGTATTGGTACCACACAGTAATAACATCAGATTAATACAATAAGTTTGCAAATTTACCCTTGAGCAACACGTCCAAAATAATTGAAACATTCAGGGCTAACGGATCAACATAATGGGCAATTCATGAAATACCATCAATAAATCACTTAACATCATCAACACTCCCTACGTTTAATCTGCTAAATTCTTCCATCACCTGTCATTACCTATGGATGCTTTGTGGTGTAGTAGGGACATGCATCTAGTGTTAGTCTGCGAAGGCATTTTACATCTTATTAGTTTGGTCTAAAACTCAGTGAAGGTGGTTGAAAAAATAAATGAATAAATAAATGAAAAAATAATTCAACTTCCAGATTAATGCTGCTACTAATGTACGGAAAACAAACCATTTTTAATATGGCAAGATACCGACTGATAATTGATTGCTTTTTTTTGCTAGAATAAATATTTTGAAACATATTAACATCTTATGAAGAGCAGTGATAACAAGTATTTGTCACAGAGTGACGAAATATCCCCCGCCTGTACACCACAGTACCAAATATGAAGACAATCCAGCGATTAGTTCTTGAGATATTGTGGCAACACCGTTTTCCAACTCCAAAAACAGATTTGCCTGCTGTGACCTTGAAAATGGGGTCAAGGTCACCAAATCTGTCAGGTGTATGCGGTGTCTGTATATACACTATAGTTCCAAATATGAAGACAATCCAGCGATTAGTTCTTGAGATATCGCGGCAACACCGTTTTCTAACTCCAAAAGCAGATTTGCCTGCTGTGACCTTGACAATGGGGTCAAGGTCACCAAAACCGACTGGTGTCTGCGGTGTCTGTATATACACGATAGTTCCAAATATGAAGACAATCCAGTGTTTAGTTCTTGAGATATCGCGGCAACACCGTTTTCCAACTCCAAAAGCAGATTTGCCTGCTGTGACCTTTAAAATGGGATCAAGGTCACCAAAACCGACTGGTGTCTGCGGAGTCTGTATATACACCATAGTTCCAAATATGAAGACAATCCAGTGTTTAGTTCTTGAGATATCGCGGCAACACCGTTTTCCAACTCTAAAAGCAGATTTGTCTGCTGTGACCTTGAAAATGGGATCAAGGTCACCAAAACCGACTGGTGTCTGCGGAGTCTGTATATACACCATAGTTCCAAATATGAAGACAATCCAGTGTTTAGTTCTTGAGATATCGCGGCAATAAACAGGTGGGACGTACGGACGGACGGACGTACGGACGTACGTACGGACGGTCGTGAATACTATATCCCCCGCTTCGCGCTTTCGCGCGGCGGGGGATAAAAACCTGACTAAAAAATTTGGACCCCCCAAAAATGTGGCCAAAAGTTTTCTTTTTTTGGCAAGTTTCAGTTTTTTCCTGTTGGTCATTCTCATAAGCCAACAAATGAAGGCCAAATGAAATGAGTCCATTTACAACTTGGTGAAGTCACAAGAGCCGACATTCGTGTCAGCCCTACCACTGCCTGACACTGAAGCAATGTGAGAAATCTATGGCACATGCTGTAGGAGAAATAATGTAGCTTGAACAATGCAAGCTAAGTGCTGAATGATCACAGCAGCTGGTGGTTTCCCTCTTATTGGAACAAGGAATGGCTTGATTCATTTGTCAAAAGTAGTGACTACACTGCAAAGCAGCCCATATATTCACAGGTAAGGGAGGATTTTTGAGGATACAAAGCCTGTGAAGTGTTGATACAGTTTTCTCTTGTCCCCATGCATGTCAAACCAGATAAAGGACTAGACAAGGCCTACTTGACCAAAGTGATCTGACAGACTACATGTCTGGAAACAACACCTTACATATTTAGACAGACTTACCAATTGTTGTAGTTATAATACTACTTAGTGCAAGTGGGACCGAGTTGGATACAAGTTGGTGAACGAGTTGGTTAAACAGATGGACAGTTGTTAGATCAATGACTGATTCTGTTCACATTTGGTATTAGATGTAAGTCTTTTACATGTGTTCTGAGACCTCAAGTTGAAGGCAAGAACGGGCATCACGTAAGAATGAGTGCGTATGGTTTTACTCCGCTCTTAGCAATATTCCAGCAACATCACAAGGGCCACCAGAAACGGTCTTCACACATTGTACCCATGTGGGCAATTGGACGGACCCGGGCCTTCAACGTGACGAGGGAACATGCCCAACTGTCTAGCATCATGTATGGGACTGAGGTTTTGAGACATGGTTTTACCAAGTTTTGAACCAAATCATAGACTATCTGCAAAATCAACAATCTTGAATCGGAACTGGTCTCAACCTTACTTAAAGACTTGGAAATCAGCCAGACTGTCACATAGTTACCAGTGTGAGTAAACAGGCACCGGGAAACGATAAGTAGTGGATTTTCCAGTACATCTGGAGGGTGATGGGTATACTTACTAAACTAAATAAACAACTATCGTAAACGTAAGATGCGTCAATTGTTATCGTAAAAACCTAACTTGTGATGTCCATACGTACCTGCTTCACACAGGGTAAGCTTTACTGTTTATCATAATTGTGCTAACATGGAACAGCCAACCCCCTGCATACATCCTGCGTTAAAAGAGTTAGGATAACATACTTTTGTTATACACCAATAAAACAGGAATAAGATCGTCACCATTCTTCATAATAGGCAATTGTAATGATGCAATACACGATGACCTAGCTGCTGTGTGTGATGTACCTTCACTGCTGTATCACTACAGCCAGGAATCAACACGTCAGGTAAGAAACTCCGAAGCTGCTTCATCAGACAATGACCCAGGACCGTGTTAACGCAACCAAAATCTCAATGCACTCTTGAGCTCAAATCAGTCATCACAAATTATCCAATTATCCGATCAGATGATTCATAAAAGATTCTAATACCATTCAATAATTTACAGTAACACTTGATCTAATCCATAAATTAATTTCCAACAAATTTTACATAATTTGTAATTTTCTACAAAACTATACAAGGCTTTCATCATTAGTCTCTAGATTACAAGATTTCCATCTGTAGTCAGTGAGCAAAGTGTTCCTCCTTTGAAGGGATATGCATCATACCCAGGTTCCGCTGTCCCCGGCAGGTTATATGTAACAAGCTCTGTCATCACATGAGCTTAGCTCACCTCCACTCAGTCACGCTTCATTCAAAAACACTCGTACGCACGACGCTGGAGTTCACGTTTCGCTATGACATCTCTTCATCCTGGGAATGGTCTGTAAGCTGCTGCATCATGCCGGGCGTCTCCTGGGGGGGCTGCAGAAAAGGAGACAGCAGACTGCATCGACAGCATCAACGTATCAAGAAACTGTAAATCTGGAAGTTAATGCGTCTCCAAATCAATATAACTGCTGACCCCTAGCCAAAAATGTGATTCAATATTAACACGACTCCCCACCCCTCACCCCAGTGGGGTCATGTCGGCCTTTGATGCAGTGTTGCATGGTTGGCAACTTTCTGGACTGCTGGAGTACCCAATGATGCCTAGTTTGACACAAGTGAGTAGAACTCTTGACCCCAGCAGTGATGCCCATTTTGTAATTTCTATTCTCCGAATAACATTGTTATATACTACTTCTGCTCAAGAAACCATGACTTGGAATATATAGTTGTTTGTGTTTATACTGAAATTGATATTTCCGCTATCCAAAGTGTGCAGTGAGGCCGTCTTATTGTTGATAGTCATTTTGGAGACTTAAATCTGAAGGTTAGATAATGCGAGCAAAGACCACTCAGATTTTTTTGCATTCACTTCACGCTCGCGTTAATTTCAAGAATTACAGAACTTAGTGCCAAGATACTACTAGTACAGTTGTTCTGTCTTTTATCATTAGAATAAGGGATTTATCTAAATTTGCACAGAGGATGATATTCGCACCTGGGTCTGCAGTAAATGGCAGTTAAAATAACCAAATTGGAATTACAAATTTTCATAATCATGTTATATTGTAATAACTAAGGCTTTGAAGAACTCTCTTGTATTTCTCTGAATATTTTGTGAACAAGGCTCTTAGTTTGGAATCCTGGATAAAACCCCTAACAATATGATACTTGTACACATCAACATCACACCACATAGTATTTGGCTGACTGAATGGCAAAGTACTATTTTCTTACTTCTTATCTTAATTTACTCAAGTAAACTTGAACATGTCTTGATGATAGAATCTCGTTCATTAATATGACAAAGTGCATAATTTTCAGGTATCACATCATCCGTATTGTGATGCTTCCACAGAAATAGGTCTAAAACTTTCAATATGTATGTACCGTATTTGACATAATAAGTGCCCCGCTCTAATAAGCGCCCACGGCGATATTTGCTAATATATTGGCTAGTGAGCAAAACCAATTAGCACCCTTCCAATTGATCAATGTACACAAGACTTTTTTATTCGCGTATAAAACGCACTCGTGTGTTATATGCACCCTTAGTTATGGGCAAATAAATTCTGGAAAAATATATATGTCGTATATAAACATTTCAGGCTGTCAGCATAAACCATGAAATTTATCTTTTAACTCTGTTTTTTCACCAAAATAATATTCTAATAACCCCCTATTTCTAATTTTGAGAGTGCCCTAGGCGCTTATCACATCGAATACGGTATTCTTAAAACCTTAATTGCTTCACAGATTTTTGTGTTTTGATTTGTTTGTTTATCTGTTATTTAACTCCGCACTCAGCAATATTCCAGCTATATGATGGCGGTCTGTAAGTTATTGCATCTGGACCAGACAATCCAGTGATTGACATCATGAGCATTGATCCATACAATTTGGGATACGATGACATGCATCAATCAAGTCAGTGAGCCTGACCACCTGATCCCGTTAATCGCCTCTTATGACAAGCATGGGTTGCTGAAGATCTATTCTACCCCGGATCTTCATTGGTCGTGTGCTTTGATTGTACATGGGGAACAAGGAACCCCCCCCCAGCATGGCTAGTGTCAAGTGTCTTATACACGGTACCTGTGACAGTCCTACAGAGAAGCCAGGCCAGGGCATGGGTAGGGCCGGATGTGAGGGTCCTTCACAGTGTGGCTGATGGCTCGGGGAGTGCATCTCTCGACTGGGGGAGTCAATACCATCCTGGTGGCCTATCTTCTCTGGAGAACCGAAGGGGTTGGCTGCCACCACGTTGGTGGGACTCTTATGGAACTCCCCTCCGAAGCGTGAGAGTTGTTGAGTTACCCCCAGCAGGCCTCCTTCATCCACGTTGATTATCACCCATATCACTTCTGGGAAGGAGAACAATCACACCTTGTATTTCAGGCATCAAGGGTGTAGAAACATATCATTTGGCAAGAAGACAACATGAAGACATGTGCACAGACTCAGAATTAACTCAGAATTAACACTTAGTAGTCCTGTTTCAATCCCCACATGAGTTAATGTATGAGCCCATTTCTTGTGGCTCCCGCTGTGATATTCCTGGAATATTGCCAAAAGTGGCGTAAAACCATAATCATTCACTCGCCATCAGCTACTAATATTCTCATGTTGCACAAAGCTACCCTAGCACGATGATGATCGTAAGTCTATGCTAAAGTATGGGAACTATGATGGTCTTATCACATTCACAAGTCGCTATGTGGAATGGGTCCCTGGACATGGAGCAAATAAACCAGTCAAAATACGTGATCATTTAACTCAGTCCATGAACACACAACCTGATACTAAATGAAGCAGTCATGATTGTGTGAGTTGGGATTCACGCCGCTTTGAACAGTATTCCAGTTACATTACAGCGCATATGAGCTTGATGTGGTAGGAAAGCCCAAAGCGATGCATGTCTTAGACGTTTACCATTTTAGTGAAACCCACCAGCTTGTAAGGTGCCTGCAAACCTACAATTTAGTACAGACATAATTGAGAATTTTGTCATGCCTTGTTCCATAAAGCAATCTTACTGCTACGATGTCGTATGTCTGTGTAAACAATGGGACTTTGTGGAACGATACCCTGGACCTCGTTCCATAAAGCGATTTCACTGCTACGATGTCGTATGTCTATGTAAACAATGGGACTTTGTGGAACAGTGCCCTGTTCTTTGAGAAATCTACAATACTAGGGTCCTGTTCCACAAAGCAATCTTAGCTCTATGATTGTCGAAAGTCCTTGTTAAAGTATTGGATGAGGACCGTTTTAGCACTAGGCATGATTTAAAACTTTCAAAATTCCAGTATAGCAAAGGCACCAGTTCAGCACTTGAGTAAAACATGCTCACCTCCAAACCCAACCCCAGTGGGCGTGTGCATCCTCCACTGCCCATGGTATGTCCCCTTCTGAGCCGGACTGGTCATCTCAATACTGATGTCGGTCATCTGGCCTGGCTGTAGTGTCTCCACCATTGCACGATCCGTGGTACTGAGGTTGTCCCCACTGCAGAACTTCAAGCTGCAGCCAGGGGGCCATGCTTCTGTACCTGGGAACACAATGGGGTCAACATGGTCAGTTGTCAGTAGGCCTAAAACCCTGCACTGAATAGTGATGTTGCGATTCACCGCTACACCTGGAAACACAATGGGGTCAACGTGGTCAGTTGTCAATAGGCCTAAAACCCTGCACTGAATAGTGATGTCGTGATTCACCGCTATACTTGGGAACACAATGGGGTCAACATGGTCAGTTGTCAGTAGGCCTAAAACCCTGCACTGAATAGTGATGTAACGATTCACCACATCACCGGTGCATCGTCGGCAAACTTTGCACGATGTGATACCTGACACACTTAATTTGGCATTGATTCACATTTAAACACAAATCGATTCTCCATGTTGATCTCACATCAATATCAAAAACAAATACAAACTATTTTTAAACCCCTCATAAATTTCTTGGTTGTCTTTCAGATACGAAACCGGCTCGATAACAAGACTGACCAGCTATTTCGTTGCAGCCCCTCATAATACAGTACATAAACTTAATTGTTTATTTCTTATTAGTTTCTCATACAGTATACAATGGTATAGTTGACTTGATTCATTCATGTTGATGGGTATCAGTCAGCTGTCCTTCACCTTTATGAGTGAGTCTACTAGCACTGAACAAGCTTAAACCAGGATATAAGTGATTCATTCTCCCAAGTAAAAAGATGCTTAGTGTGACACCTGTATCGTGACATTCCTAGCACTGAACAAGCTAAAACCAGGATATAAGAGATTCATTCTCACAAGTAAAAAGATGCTTAGTGTGACACCTGTATCGTGACATTACTAGCACTGAACAAGCTAAAACCAGGATATAAGAGATTCATTCTCACAAATAAAAAGATGGTGAGTGTGACACCTGTATCTGTGTATCGTGACATTCCTAGCACTGAACAAGCTAAAACCAGGATATAAGAGATTCATTCTCACAAGTAAAAAGATGCTTAGTGTGACACCTGTATCGTGACATTACTAGCAATGAACAAGCTAAAACCAGGATATAAGAGATTCATTCTCACAAGTAAAAAGATGCTTAGTGTGACACCTGTATCGTGACATTCCTAGCACTGAACAAGCTAAAACCAGGATATAAGAGATTCATTCTCACAAGTAAAAGATGGTTAGTGTGACACCTGTATCGTGACATTCCTAGCACTGAACAAGCTAAAACCAGGATATAAGTGATTCATTCTCACAAGTAAAAGATGGTTAGTGGTTGGACTGGCAAATTCAAGGGCTGTTGGTGCCTTTCGACTAGAAATCATTATCCAGATTTTCAGATCGGTCCACTTCCTAGGACATAGGAGAATGACCTCTCAAAATTAGCAAAAATTAGGAAAATGTCCTAATGACATTTGTCATCTGACATCTACATCAAACGTTCTTTACTCTTTCACAAGATCTTTGTTCAGATTCCCAAAATTTACCTCGACTATAAATTAATGTGAAATTTCATGCAAATATGTCCTTTCTAAACATACACATCAGTGGGACAGATAAAATATCTTCACCGGTCTCTTTGCTGCCTTGATAATGTTTCCAAAATATCTCTTTAGGTCACATGTTCATTTTACTTCGACATGTTTAAGACAAGACCAATACACACTCAGGGGCATGATAATGCCGAAACACTGAACCGTACCACCTTACTGTGCAAATGATTACAGAATAATACAAATCACATTGTAAACTTAATGTTACAATGACCACTGAATCATTTTATTCTAAATTGTCAATAAAAAAATACTGACATATAAAACAAAGCCAATGCAGAAAATATGTGTTATTTTTACCTCACTCAAACATATTCTATTTGATCAGATACACAAACACATCGACTGCCAAGTATGTAGAGGCTGAGCTATCGGGTGACAGTTGACCTCATGAATATCTTTTTATCATGTTCATAATCAAATGGATCTTCAACAGATACATGACATGAATACTGACATTTTACTAAAGACTAAAAAAGTGTGACCCAATTTGATTACCATGTTGCCATGTTTACAGTCACAGCATATTCAGCCTTCTACCTTTTGAAAGCCATCCAAATTACATTTAGGTGGCAGACCTATGTCTTTTCAAACAAAATGCAGAGTAAGAAACTGGCTCCAGTCCTTTAGTCCAAACAACATTCCATGCGTAACAGAAGGCCTAGCACTACATGTACCATCATGTAGCAGAAATGTGCAATGTTCTTCTGTATACATTATCATAAGGATTGGAGACCAAAACATCCAACATTACCCATAAAGCAGTGGTGGGACGATACACCGATCGGATCACGATTTTTACTTCTCGATACAAATATCGATCACAGTCGCACACTTAGCAAAAAATATCGATTCTGACCATAAATGTTTGCTTTAATAACTGTTCCACTAAACATTAATCAGTAGTACAAGTTAATAGTGAAAACATTAATATTTTCATTTGTTGTGAGATACTTGACACTGCCAACTATAAAATCGTCAGTGTGCCAGGTATTTGGACACCCTATCTATGAAAAAGATGGCTTACACACCATAAGATAAGAGCACATGCAAGAACAATGTATCGTGAGTAAGGTATCAAAATACTTATCAGATCTCACAGTTGGTGTATTGTCCCAGCCCTACCATAAAGGGTCAAAGGTTGAGTCTTTTTCTTTCCAAAATTTGCACATGTGCATTTTAGTGATTCTCCTTGTTGATTGCTCATTTTAAGAGATATGAAGTCAGATTGCTTCCTCCATCAGTTTGTTTGTTTCTTTGTTTATTTCAGAGCTACAGATAAGCAGCGTATTTGCGTAAAATACCCATAAATAATATTCAAAACCCAATTACTTTTAATCAACTTGTGTACAGAAACACATGCATTAAATGAAAAACTAAAATGTATAAAAACAGCACGCGTAAATACACAATGAAGCTTATTCATCATGTGTTCAACATGTTCAAAGGTGCTAATTTCCGAAACTCAATTACGAGTTAATTTACTTTTGGAGTCAAGTCTATATATTTAGTACAGTTATATACTGTCTAAAACATTATATATCTAAAACATTATTTCATTTTTTCACTAATTTGGGGAAAAACCCAATAGACATGATAGAGTGATGAATAGATGAGTGAAAAAATACTGGTTACCCAATGAAAAATGTAATAACCCAATTAAAATAGAAACCCTAGAGTAAAAACTCAATTGCTCAAAAAGTTATCTGGAGCTCTGTTACTTGTTGTTCAATGTCACACACAGTAAGATTTCAAATCTGGGTAAGAATAGGTCTTCAGCAACCAATGCTTGCCATAAAAAGGCGACTTTGTTTGTCGTTAGAGGCGACTAATGGGATCGGATGGTTGACATGGTTTATAGCTGTCATCGTATCCCAAATGTGTAGATCGATGCTCATGATGTCAATCACTGCAATGTCTGGTCTAGACTTGATTATTTATAGACTGCAGTCATAAAGCTGGAATATTGCTGAGTGCGTCGTTAAACAACAAACAAACAAAACAAACACAGCAACATTTCAGCTTAATGACTGTGGCCTGTAAGTATTCAAGTTTAGATCCAACAATCAAGTGATTGATATCATGAGCAACGATACACACCATCAGGGTACCATGACAAGTAATCATCGGAGTCACTGATCCATTAGTCACATTGCACAACAAGCAGAGATTGCTTGGGCCCAATTCGAACCTAAACATCCCACGGGGGATCCGTCCACTCCATCCACTCACCTCCGTTTTGTACCCTCCATGTTTTGATGAACTTGTTGTTTGGTGGTATGGATTCCCCTTCTCCTATAGTGACATCTTTGATAAAGCTCATTGATGGCAAGTTGACAGGGGGCTGTTCAAAGTCATAATAGGAACCAATAGCTTCTTGTAGGTTCCTGCATGAAGAGCATAATAATTCCAGTTCAATGCAGTCAAATCATGTCTTCCTTTAACCCAGGCAGAAGGAAATTTGACTTAAAAGAAATAGAGATACTTTCTCACTTTAAAATAGATATCAATCACTAAAGAATTGGTAGCATGTTTTATAACTCCAAGTCCAAGAACTGGCACAGTAACACTCTGTTAGGGAAAGATAGGCATCACTATCGTTGAGAGTGGGCCAAACCTTATCTAATATGCACTGTCTTAGAAAGGACTCTCACATTTGTTATTATAAATAGCTATTTATCATATCAAAGAATAACATATGTTGCTTGGATAAGTATGAATGTTGTGAGAACAATTGCTGATGATTTAGAACAAATATGTACATTTTATTTCATTTGAAAGTATACTAATGGGAAGAAGAAATTATTTGTACATTTAGTTTTTATTAATATTTTCTTGGTTTGGAAGAAATAATGGAACAGATAGGAAGGGAAGAGTTTGTTTGACATTCTGTGTTGAACATGTTGAATGTACCATGAAGATGACTAGAAATCATTTGGCAATGTAGTGACACATCACTTCCCAACATTTCATGTTGTTCATAAGCATGTGAAGCATCTAATCTTAAAGCAGGTGTTTCACGCACCTAAAAACACTCTTGTTAATTGTTGTACTGTAATGTTTTGCCGTCTTTGTTTCTTATAAAAATTCACTTCCTGATTGTAAAATTGCTAATCATTGATATAAGAACTCAGACAGGCTGTAAGTGACTTCAGATGCTAGCCTGATGCCCAAGTGAAATATTGCTTGGTCTAGTAAGCTCAGTTAATAGTAGACCATATTAACGCTATAATCTATTGAAAATTATGCCAAGAGGCATTTTGGGGCCACTAGTGGATTCTACATGTTTTGGCACAGACAGGTTTGCTCCACTTCTTCTATGAACACACTCTTTGTCACTGTAATGACAGCTGTGACGACACTCCGCAGATTTGATCTTGCATCTTAAAATTGTATGGATACCACAACCTACCTCTTAAAGAAAACTAAAATTTATAAAGTCTGCATTAAAATAATAATAGTGAAGGCTAAAATAGGGCTAGGGCGAAAGTGGAAAGAATGGCTAGGATCTTATAGTTAGAAGTAAGCACGCTGCACTTGTTAAACTGCAATCAACATAAAATATGAGTTATAACTGAACATTTTGAATCAAAACATGTGATCTTGTATGCAAATTGAATTGAAACACTCTTCATGTTTCACAAATTTGTAGGTGTTTCTTTGAGATTTATTTGAATCGTTTTGAGTAAATATTAGACAATGTGTTTTACAGTTTCAAACAACAAGTCGTGTGACACGACCCCGTTGTTGACAAACATACCAGTTATTCATATCAAGAAAAAATGCACAAGATGACGGATTGAGTTTGTTTCCCAAGAGTTTTTGAAACTCTGCAATGAGTACATCTCGGTCCGTGGTCCCCATAGAACTAAACTGCTGGAGCAGCTGTCCGTCCAAATCGTTGTCCACGTCCATAGCTGTATTTCAAACTAGATTCCACCAAATACTTATTTATTTTCTACCATTTGTTGTCTTAGGAAGCGAAAGAAATATATCTTCAACATCCTCCAAACGTGTTTCCTTTTCGTCGGAATATTGACGTCCGGATATAATCTCTGCGCATGCGTCTTTCGCATGGCCATCTGGGAGATTTTATGTAGATTAGCCACGTGCAAGAAACTGTAAATATAAATAGTATCATATTCGCATATATGCCAAGGAACAATGCTAATAATAACATGGATTTCTATTTATCTGTTTGCAATAATTGTTCAGTATTTAAAACTTTGAGGATAGTAGATGAATGTCATCGACATATTTTTTTTCAACAGAACATCATGCCGAAGATACGTGTTGTCAGAGATCATATAGTCTCTGGTGTTGTTGAGTTTAAAATCGGAAACAGAATAAAACATACATAATTGTTTGCGTATGTTTCGTCGGAGCAATATCAGAATTATAAGAATATGTTATACACGTTAAAGATGTAGCCTCCCGCAGAGTCAGTTTAGAATGAAAAGGTACGATATATGAAGCGGACATAAAATATCACAGTTCCCACCGGTACTTGAGTTTGGGTTTTCTTGGAAATCTCGATGTCGAAACCTAGAAAATAGAAATATTTTCCTAACGATCACATTTGTGAGTAGTTAGTATCCGAGAATTACATGTTTATATGTCATATATGGTAATGGTTTCTTGGTTTGTTTGACAGGTGATACAATCGTGTCGAAAGGCGACATAGAAGGCAGAACCGATGACACTGTGATGTACCGCTGTAGTTTGTTTAACGCCACACTCAGCCGTACAGAGATACACGTAGGTCTTGGTTGTCATCACGAGCATCGGGCCGCGTAATTGACTCAACCATGTCACCGTCGCTGAGCGCCCGATTAATTTAGTCGTCTCCTACGATAAACGAAGATTGCTGAGACCTATATTCTTCCCCGGATTCGCCCCAGGCGTCCATATAACAGTTTACTGAGGATCCTAATATCTAGTGATGTACTGGTGAACCATTCTCACGTTTTAAGTGCTTGCGGAGCGTTATGGAATATATCCGAATCTGTTTTATACGTATATCAATCGTTAACTCAATTCATTATAGATAGTGTCTTAACCAGGATAAAAGTATAATTTCTTTTGCCCTCCAATTTACATAGATATCGATAAAAAAATGATTGTTCTATGTCTGTTTATTTTTGGTCAGTTCATCTGCCACTTTCCGCCTAGAGAATACCTCATTGCTGACATATGTTTTTTAAAGTTTTAACTTTATCGTGTACACCATCCTCCCTGATTGACAAAGATGAAATGAGAAGAGTGGGTGCGCCAATACCGGGGGCGAACATCCTTCACGGGCTTGTTTGTGATGCTGAACTCTCCTAGATAGCGACCAATCACCGGCTTGATTTCCACCATTATTTATTGCTCACGTTTTGCACATGGTTCCGACGTGATTGATTGCAGTCAATGGACATCTGTCGCCTTTAGCGAAAGCCACAGAGTGGTATACTGTATCAACGGAACTGGTTATTACAGAGAGTTGAAAACAAAGCTTTTTCCTATTCGTGACTCAATATATGTACATATTGACAACATACGAAATAGTATTAATGTATGCGCAGCCCCCTTTATCAGCTGTTGTGTCCGTCACATTATATCAAGGTCTCGCTTTGACATTTGCTTGTTGTTTAACCCCGCAAACAATCAAGTCTTGACAGTGTTTGACGTCACGAGCATCGATGCGATGAGACTGCCTCCGTGGTCTAGAGGTAGAGCGGAAGGTCCGGTGTTCAATCCAGGCCGGTCATTCCAAAAGACTTTAACACCAGATTGCATCCCAGTTCGACAAGGATGGAAACTGGACTTTTAGAGTCAGTTAACTCCCCTGCCTCGGGAAGATGGTTACGATGTAATCTGAGCGTTCATTGGCCAGAGCATTCACTAGTCTTCTTCTTGCTCGAATCAAACCATGAATAGATTTGTTGGTTAAAACAGCGACAACAATGCAAATCGGCCGTATGTAGGCACAACATGTGAAGTACTGACAATTAGTAACCACTATAATACTCATTTGCTGCTTTTAAATTGTTTCTGATGCACAAAAGAGAAGGTGAGTTGGGTTTAGCTTTGAACATTATTCCAGTTATATAACGGCACATCAGCTTAGACATTTACTACTTCGGTGAAACCCACTAGCACGGGCATGGTGCTGACAATCATAGACACACAATCGGGGCGAATCAGGATTTGAACCCACGCTCATAGGTTCCTGGCGTGCCCAAGGGACGCAACCCTGTACAGAGATTTGCGTCGCCTGACAACTGAGCCACCAACGCAGAAAGTGAGATGCTGCTGATAGCGTCACATCAAATAGTTCCATGGCTGTGTTATCAAGCAATTGTTTTATAAAAGATTGGGGCGGTGGTGTAGCCCAGTGATTAAAGCGTTCGCTCGTCACGCCGAAGACCCGGGTTCGATTCCCGACATGGGTACAATGTGTGAAGCCCATTTCTGTGTCTCCCGCCGTGATATTACTGGAATATTACTAAAAGCGACGTAAAGAAAATACTCACTCACTGATAAAATGCTGTGAAGATCCGGGGTAGAATTGGTCCTCAGCAACCCATGCTTGCCGTAAAAGGCGACTATGCTTGTCGTAAGAAGCGACAAACGGGATCGGGTTGTCACTTGGTTGATGCAATTGTCCAATTTGCGTGGATCGATGCTTATGATGTCAATCACTGGATTGTCTGGTCCAGACGCGATTATTTACAGACCGCCGTTATATAGCTTGAATATTGCTGAGTGCGTCGTAAAACAACAAACAACAACAAGAACAACACATTATCCTGTAGCCGTCCTTTCCCTTCATCTTCAGTATATCAAGCATCGCCTCAAACATACCTGTTCCACCTTCTGTCGACATCTGTGTGAAGACACAGTCCCGATACAAGGCACACAGCACAGAGTCCACCTGTGTGAAGACACAGTCCCGATACAAGGCGTCCAGCACAGGGTCCACCTGTGTGAAGACACAGTCCTGGTACAAGGGGTCCAGCACAGGGTCCACCTGTGTGAAGACACAATCCCGATACAAGGCGTCCAGCACAGGGTCCACCTGTGTGAAGACACAGTCCCGATACAAGGCGTCCAGCACAGGGTCAACCTGTGTGAAGACACAGTCCCGATAAAAGGCGCCCAGCACAGGGTCCACCTGTGTGAAGACACAATCCCGATACAAGGCGTCCAGGAATTGGTCCACCTGTGTGAAGACAAAGTCCCGATACAAGGCGTCCAGCACAGGGTCCACCTGTGTGAACACACGGCCCTGGTACAAGGCGTCCAGCACAGGGTCCACCTGTGTGAACACACGGCCCTGGTACAAGGCGTCTAGCACAGGGTCCACCTGTGTGAAGACACAGTCCTAGTACAGGTTGTCCAGCACAGGGTCCACCTGTGTGAAGACAAAGTCCCAATACAAGGCGTCCAGCAGAGGGACCACCTGTGTGAAGACAAAGTCCCGGTACAAGGCGTCCACTACAGGGTCCACCTGTGTGAAGACAAAGTCCTGGTACAAGGCGTCCAACACAGGGTCCACCTGTGTGAAGACAAAGTCCCGATACAAGGCGTCCAACACAGGGGCCACCTGTGTGAAGACAAAGTCCCGATACAAGGCGTCCAGCACAGGGTCCACCTGTGTGAAGACACAGTCCTCGTACAAGGCGTCCAGCACAGGGTCCACCTGTGTGAAGACACAGTCCCGACACAAGGCGTCCAGCACAGGGTCCACCTGTGTGAACCACATGAAGGTTATCCTCTGAAAGAACACAACTAGGGGGATATCCATCTTCTCTGTGGGATTATTCATACACTTCTAAAAAGTAAACTGGAAACATAAGACGCTTAACAGTAATTCTGAGGTAGTTCATACATCTTAGACTAAAACACTTTTCGAACAATTTCTTGTAAAATGAGCTGAGCTTATTCTGTTTGTTCCATTTTCACACGTATCGTATTTTGAAATAGGACTCATGTTTCCTACCATTCAGCCATACATGTATGTACACAGCTGTCTGCATTTGTTTCCATGGAAATAAGATGTATTCATAATTTAATATCATCAAAGCCATATATGACATATTACAGTAACGATGGGCACAATGACCTTGAACTTACAAACACCTAATCAACTGGTAGAACACTGCTTCTGTGGTCTGGGCTTCAACTTAGAACTTACACACTGCATTCTTTGCACCCGTTTAGATCAGGGTCAGAATTGGTCTTCAGCACCCCATGCTTGTCGTAAGAGGCGACACACGGGAATATTGCGGCGTTAAACAACAAACAAACAAACAAACAGACACCTCAACAAAACAATTGGTCACTCAGTTATAAACAGGCAAAATCACATGATATTTTTCACCTGATACCTATATTCAGCTATGTATGTATGCTAACGGAAAAAACGTAACTGTGCTTCATATAAAGTTATGTAAATGTTGTGTTATTGAAAATAACAACATCATATATGGTCATTCGTCTGATCAACGTTTTATCATTACAAATTCATTGACAAAACCCATACCTGGTAACAGGAGACAGAGAAAAAACGTCCTGAAAGTGGGGTGATGTAACAACAGCTGACCATGTCAGTATCGGGTGCGACGCATCTCCCATCAGACCGGACCGCCTCCGTGGTCTAGTGGTAGAGCGTCCGCCCGGAGAGCGGAAGGTCCGGGGTTCGATCCCCGGCCGCGTCATACCAAAAGACGTTAAAAGATGGTACTTGTTGTTACCCTGTCTGGCGCTCGGCATTAAGGAGCTAAACAAGGACTGGTCGGCTCGAAGTCAGTATACTGTGTCTGAGTGGGGTATTCATGTTAAACTGCGGCATGGTATTTCAGTGAGCTAGCACTATAAATCGGCATCAGTCCGGACTAGTACAAGCAGCCACACACACACATATAGGTGCATGCACGTCGCTATATGAGTGCAATAATCTTGGACGCGACGTTAAACCCCATTTCACCTCACCTCACCCATCAGACCGTGCGTACGCGCCAGAGGAAGCTAGGATTCATGCACGTCGA